GGCAATCTGGTTTTGTTTAAAGCCGGTTCTAAGCCGGGGCGGCTGGGAGACAATGCAAGCCATGGTCTGGCATGGTCTGCCCTCAGTTGCCCCTAAGAAGCAGCTAACTACCCATCTCTCCCGCCCCCTCACCCGCCTGTCCCCCGAGGGGCATCACTAAGCAGCACTGCACACACGGAGGCCTGGGCCCTAGAACCTTGTGGGTGTGTAATATGGGAAACTGTACCACAATTAAGTAGACATCCTCTTTCTGTTTTCTTTCGTAACAGAACTTCAAATGAAAGAGAGGAGGCGTCAGGGAAGGCGAGGCAGGAACAACTGGAACTTGAGCCAGTGTGGGAAGAAAGTGGGACCGCTGAAGAAACGAGTTCAAAGCCAGCCAAAATCTGAAGAGCGGAAATCCTTCCAAATCCTGGTGGGCTGGAGAACAGAACCAAAGGGGATGAAGGACCCCCCCCATTCCATCCCTCAAGAGCCTTCCGGAAGGAGCATTTCATCAATCAGAATAGAACTTGTAGGGACCTTGGAGGTCTTCTAGTCCAGCCCTCTGCTCAAGTAGGAGTTCTTACACCATTCCAGACAAATGGCCGTCCCGTCTCTTCTTAAAAACCTCCAGTGATGGAGCATCCAAAACTTCTGAAGGCAACTTCTGTTCCACTGGTTGATTGTTCTCCCTGTCAGGAAGTTTCCCCTTAATTCCAGGTTGCTTCTCTCCTTGATTAGTGTCCATCCGTTGCTTCTTGTCCTGCCTTCAGGGGCTTTGGAGAAGAGGTTGATCCCCCCCTCTTCTTTATGGCAGCCCCTCAAATACTGGAAGGCTGCTATCCTGTCCTCCCTCGTCCTTCTTTTCTCTAGACTGGCCATTCCCAATTCCTGCAGCCGTTCTTTGTACGTTTCAGTCTCCAGGCCTTTAATCATCTTAGTTGCTCTTCTCTGCACTTTCCTCCAAAGTCTCAGCATCTTTTTTGTAATGGGGTGACCAAAACTGGATGCGGCCTATTCCAGGTGTGGCCTTACTCAGGCTTTTTATAAAGCAGTCCTAAGACTTCAGGTGATTTTTATTTCACGCCTCCGTTTATGCAGCCCAGGATTGCGTTGGCCCTTTTGCCTCCGTGCGAAGCAGCCCTTGCAAAGATGGGCCTCGCCCGACGCCCCCCTTCCAGGTCTCTGCAGATCTTCAAGCGCCCTCCCGGCTGAGGAGTAGGCTGACTCGGCCGGGGAGTAACAACTCTCGCCACCCAGCAACAGCGTCTCTTTTTCCCCGGACAAAGCCTCCGTTTCCCCCTGCAGCAGATGCGCCCACCGGGCCTTCCTCGGTTTCCTGAGGATCGCCGCACCGAAGCGCCCGAAAACCCAGGTCCGTCTCCCCCCCCTTTCCCCCCCCTCCCAACCTTTCCCGCGCTTGCTTCCTAAGGCCTGCTGCTGAACTGTCCGTCCACCAGGGGGCGCCGGAGGCCCTTTTCCAAAGTGCAGCCGTTCATTTTCCTGATTCCAGGCAAAGAGCCCTGAGACCCATTTCTTCCTTTTTTTCTCTCTCTCTCTCTCTCTCTCCCGCCCCCCCCCCCCCGCTCTCGAAAGCTTCAGGCGCGGGACTCCCCACGCGGCCCAACGCGCTCCGGGCCCTTTTCAGGTCTCGGCAGGGCCCGCTGGGCCGGCTACCCAAAGCGCCGGGTTAGAGGGGGGGGGGTTGCAAGGGCAGTTCACCCCTCCAGAGCCCCGGTGCGCCTTCTGCGCGGGCAAACGAGGAGGGGGCGCATCACAAGACGCGGAAGGATGAAGAAGAAGCGGAAGAATGAAGTCTCCGGCTCCGGCGGGCCCCGAAGGAAGGAAGGAAGGACGGCCCCTCCCTCCCTGCCCGACGGGGGTCGGAGGCGGTCGGTGCAACCGGCCCCGAGCAATTGCAGAACAGCCGCCGCGGGGACCCCCGGAGGTTCTGCCCCGGACAGAGGGCGGCCTTGGGGCGGCGCTCCCTGCTTCCCGGCCGCCGCATCGCCCGCTGGCCCCGCGCTTGGAAGGCGTCCTGGCAGGGCAGGGCGGGGCTCCTTCCCGGGTCAGGCGGGGCCTCCGGCTTCCTTCCCAGCCCGGTCCCTCCTCCGGGCTCTTGAGCGGGCAGCCGCCGCCCGGGCTCAGGGGCTGCCGGCCCCGCGTCCTGGGGTGGCCGAAGGGCGGGCGCAGAGCGGGGCTCCGGAGAAGGTCAGGGCGCAGCCGGGCACCGGGCGACGTTGGGCCCCCGCGCAAGGACGGCTTTTGGGCGGAAGAGCCGCGCCCTCCGTCCCTCGGCTCCAAGGCCGCGGCTCCTGGGCTTTCTGGCCGGCCAGGAGAAGCGGGGCTCGCCGCTCTCCCGCCCAGCCCCCGGCTCCCCGTCCCCCGGCTCCTCCGCCCGGCGCAGCTCTTCCCGAGGGCAGCCAAGGCCGCCTTCCCGGCCCCAAAGCAGGCCGAAACGGGTCGACAAGAAGCCGCCTCTCTCTCTCTCTCTCTCTCTGCCGCCAGGAGGGCCCTGGGAGCCCCCGCCAGCCCCGGAGCCTGGCCACGCGCCACGGACTCTGGACGGAAGCCCCTGCTGCAATTCCTGGGTGGTGGCGAGTCACCAAACCCATGACGCTCTTCCTTGTGGCTCCATAGAGCACAGCCGCCCCCCCCCCTCTGCCCCGGAGAGGACCTTGCCTTGCCCCGCCCCAGCCCACCTGCAAGGGCCACAAAACTGCCGGGTTTTGCAGAACTGTCTGGGCTCTGCTCTCCTTCCCCTCCTCGCTCCTTCCTTCCTCTTTCTTTCTTCGGAAAGTTGCTTCGGTTCCGTTTCTTCTTCCAGCCCGCCCGCCTTCTCTCTTCGAAGGGAAGCCTCTCTCCTCCCAGATTGACTTACGCGCAGCCCCTGAACGCCGCCTCTGAAAAAGTGTCCAAGGCTGGAGCTTCAGGGGCGGCCAAGACAAGCAACGCAACCGCCGGAGCGCTTCAATCGCAGCTCCTCCTCTTCGGACACGCGTGGATTTTGCCCGGGTTCAGAGGCTCCATTCGTGACGGTCCCCCTGCAGAGGCCAGCGTGCTGCATGTCCAGTTTCTGGCCAGCCCGGAGCAGCGGGGGGGGGCACCTTTAAAGACCTGAGCTGCCCTTTAATGAACAGCTTCTCCCAGGTTTAATTCTCATTTTATTTGCTATTATTGAACCAGCAGTACATCTTATACTTTATATACATACAGATGAATATTACTTCTGTTTGTGACAATACATAATATATTATTTAGGTAATACTAGCCGTAAGAAAACACGCACACAGAGGGACAGCCTCCCCATTAGTCAACTTAGGAAGCCACGTAATTGTGTTGAGGTATGGCCGTGAGGCTGTGGAAATGGCGAGGGGCCTCTCCCTGCCAGGGAAGGAGAGGAGCCAGCTGGACCCAGAACCTCCAGGAAGGGCATTGCAGGGCGAGAGGGAGGGGTGGGACCGGCCAAGCCCAACCGGGCACCTTCCGGCTGTGCTGGGCTACGGCTCCCACTTTCCACAGGAAGTGGGTCCTTCCGGGAGCTGCAGCCCAGCAGAGAGAAAGAGAGAGAAAACTTCAGGAGTTAAGTGGGGAGGGGGCTCTTTACGGGTAGCCTCGCTAAGGAGGCACCCATTTTTATTTTCAGAAAGTGCATTTCATTCCTTGCGGTCTTTGTCGTGATACTAGCGGAGCAGGTCCCCTGCGAAGGAGATCCAGAGGTGGCCGGGAGTGGAGAGGAGACAGAACAGGGAGAGGCTACCTGGAGGTGCCTTGCTCACTTAAAACTACCCACAGGAGAAGCACCAAACCACGGGGGTCACCCAGGACATGCACAGGCGAGAGCCAAGGTTACAGCAGCGTAATTGTCATCGCCCAGGGGGGTCACGAGCCTGCCGGGAAAAACGGCTATCTAGAGCGCAACAAGAAAACGGCCTCCGGACGCGAGGGCCAAGCGAAGCAGGCGTTCCAGAGCCATTCTAGGTCGCCAACGGCAAGAGGAGGGAAGGGGAGGCCTGCGCAGATCCCGAAAAGACGCGGGGCGGGCAGGCGGAGGGAAGAGACGCTGCCAGAAACTCCTTCATGATTAGGTAATTTTTTTTGCCAGCAAAGGCTATCCAACTACAAAGCACACTGGCCAGAAAGCTGCCTCCAGGAAGCCCAACCCTCCCTGGCAGGGGCAGACTCACACGCCACCCTGCTCCTCCTCGGATTAAGGAGAGGGCCGCGCTCCGTCAGGCGGGGACAAGCCCCCTGCCACGTGCATGCCAGGCAGCCCGTCTCAAGGGCACAACAAACTGGGCTCAGAAGGGAGCCCTCTGGTGGGAGCAGGAGGGTCTCTTGGGTGTTACCACTGCACCCAGCTTTGGAAGGGATCTCCTTACCAGAACTGAGCGGGGAGAAGGGAGCCGGGGAAATTGCAGCCCCCCCCCCCCCAAATACAAAGCAGAAAAAGGATCCAGTGGGCCCCGACTACGATGTGAGGAGGAGGAGTGGGGGGACTGCCACAGAGGTATCCAACCGGTTCCTCCCCCTCCCCCCCCCAGCAGAGATCTACAGCAGCAGCTCTGGCCTTCCGCCCGCAGGTGAGCCTCAGGCACAGCGCTGGCATGGAGGCCGGCCGTGGCTGCTCGCTGAGGCCCACAGGGAGAAAGGAGACAAAGCCTGGGTGGAGATCCCAAACAAAGAGCCGCGTCTGGTCAGCCTCCGGGGCCTCAGGGGACTGACCAGAAGCAGGAACCGGGGTTTCAGCCATCCTTCCTCGCTCTCCCCGAGCTCCGGGTGGGGCAAATTCTGAAGCAGCCCCCGGGAGGCTTTTGCGATTCTGCTGGAGGAGGGCAAATGCAAAGGGCGTCAATGGAACGGGGACATCGAGAAAAACAGGGGAGGATTGTCTGGAAATTAGGATTCGACTGAAGAGCCAAAGAGGTCAGGAAACTCCCGTCCCAGGTGGGTCCGTCTGCCTCGGTCGGCCGTTGGTCCGTCTCCGTTTCCTCCGTTCTGCTGCTGCTGCTGCTGCTTCAGAACTGAACCCAGCTGGATGGCTGAGCGGGCTGGCTGGGAACTGCGCTGGGGGGGGGAATGGGGGAGGAAAAGGATCAGGAGAGAGAGGGAAGTGGCCGGGGCCCCCCAAGGACTGGCCCACCCCAGAGGAGCCCTTCCCATCTTTCCAGCAAGATCTTCAGGCAGAGGTCCCAGGGGTGAAACCGGCCGTTCCGGGGCTGTGGGGAGGGCTGAGCAGAGGCCGGACAGACAGAGAACGGAAGGACAGCCCCTCTGCCTGGACACAGGAGAGAGGTAACTCAAGAGGCAGGCAGACCGAGATGGAAGAGCCAGGACTCTGGTCACCCCCCCCCTTTTGACCTATTCACACATTACCTGTCCGTATGTTGCCCTAGTAGAATCTCTGAGGTCTAAGAACCGGCGCTTTACCTGGGCGCAGTGTTGAAGTCTCCCCACAGGTCTGCAGCAGGTGGGACGGCAGCAGGCGCCACTGCGGGAGCCTTGGAGGTGGGGGGTGCCAAATCATCCAGGTCTAGGAGGACATCTGTGAGGGGGGGAGGGGTCAAAGGAGGCGGTTTTGGGTTAGGAGGACCGAGGGCGGTTCTCCTCCGGCGCTCGCTCAGGACACCAGGCGGGAGCTGCGCCCGGCTTGGCTTTCTCGGCACCCGGAGTGCCAGGAGCGGGTCGACTGCGCCTGGCGGAGGCTCTGCTCCCGGCCCCCCTTTCCTTCTCGCCAGGAGAGGCAGGGATGGGCCCTCTGGGCTGCCCGGCCCCACCAAACCTTGCCGGGAGCCCGAGAACCTCCCAAATGTGCCAGCACAGTGCAGACAGGCAGTCCTCAGCTTACGACCACAACTGAGCCCAAAGTGAGACATTCGTTCAGTGAGTTTTGCCCCACTTTATGACCTTTCCTGCCACAGTTGTTAAGTGAATCCCTGCAGTGAAGTTAGTAACACGGTCATAAAGCGAGTGGGGCTTCCCCCACTGGCTTTGCTTGCCAGGAGGTCGCAAAACTGGATCATGTGACCCCAGGACACGGCGATTGTCATAAAACTGACCCAGTTGCCAAGCCTTTGGATTTTGATCACGTGACCACGGGGGAAGGCCGCAAGCCATTCTTTTCTGCGCCGTTGTAACTTTGAACGGTTACTAAGTGAACTGTCGTAAGTTGAGGACTATCTGTACTTTGCTTGGGTTGTTGCCTCCAGCACGAAAGGGAAGTCACGGGGGGGGGCAGGGGGAACTGCCCCCCTCCCTGGCCCACCTGAAGCCCCAGCCTTTCCTCGGTCCTGCTGCCCGGCAAGACGGGAGGAGGACGGGGGCTGCCTCCCTCCCTCTCCTCTGGCCGGCCTGGGATTCCTGCCCAGCGACCGTCAGGGTCCCTGCTGCCCCCCCTTCTCAGCCCCTGGCAAGCTGGGTCACCCCACGGACACCCCAGAACGACCGTTACCTGCGTGGCCAGCACCGCTGGACTTCAGCACGGGGGGCGGAGTTACGTGGTTGGAAATGGCCGTTGAAGAAAGAGGGGGGACGGGGGGAGGAGGGGCCACTTTGCCCCCCGGGGGTGGGGGGAGGAGGCTGAGTCCCGCTGAGCCAGCCGGCCGGGGCTTCGCTGACCCACTTTTCTTGGTGGGCATGTTCTGCAAAGAGAGAAGGACGGCATTAAGAGGGGGTCTCTCAGAATCACCCCCCCTTCCCCCCCTGAAAGATGTGCAGGGGAGCCTCACCCCGATGTTCAGTTTGATGGTCTGGCCTTCCTTGAAGCCCAGGTCGAGCTTGGGCCGGCTGTCCAGCTCCTGGGACTCCCTGGAGATGTCCGTCTCCTGTTTCACCCACCTGCGGGCGAGAGGCAGCGGAGAAGGCGGTGGGAGGTGGCGACAGGGAAGGGCGGCAACCAGGCAGGAGAGAGGCAAGAACTGGGACCGGAATGCCTGTCACTAAGCAACACGGTCATAAAGCGTGAGGGCGCCGCTTAGTGGCGGCAATCCCGGCTGCTGCTGTTCACTGAACCCCGGATTTGTTGTTGGGGAGGCAACTGCCTGCGGCTTCCCACAACTGAAGTCGGAAGGAAAGCCGGCAGGAAGTTGCAAGTCCCAGGCCCGGAGGGGGAGGGGGAGTGAGAGTGCGCAAGCGGTTGGCGCTGAGCAAGTGCAAGGGTGCTGGGGGGGGGAGTAAGCTTACCTGAGTGAATTGCGGGTTTTCCTGTCAGCTTCCCCACTGACTTTCTGGGGAAGCCTGCAGGAAATGTTGCCAATGGCAATCATGCGATCCTGGGGCCCTGAAGCTGGTCATAAGTCCAAGCTGGTTGCTAAGCACCCAGATCGTGATCGGGTGACCGTGAGGATGCTGCAACTCTGAGGATCTGTCCTAGCCACCATCAGTTCAGCACTGCCGTTAAGTCTGAATGGTTGAAGGTCAAGGTCTGCCTGTGCCGCCTATTCTCTGGCCGGTGAGCTTGCCCAAGGGAACGGCTCAAAAGCCTCCTCCCTCCCTCCCTGGGCTCTGGAGGGGAGACTCACCAGGAGACGCTGGAACACCTTTCAATGCAACCAGGCCCACCCTTTGGCCTTGGCCTTTAAGAAGGCCTGATGCCTTGAGACTGGAACAATGACACACACACACACACATGCACACAGTCTGAACTGAGCTGAACCGAACACCCATTTCAGACAAAGGCAGCTCCATTTCTGCAGAGCTGGGAAGGAAGGTTCCTCCCCCCCCACCACCCCCTCAGGCCGGCCCTGGGTGCAGCCCCTCCCCCCAGCAGACTCCTTTCGCCCAACCCCCTCCCCACCCATCAAGAGCCAGAGCAGCAAGGCAGACTCACTTGAAATGGTCCTGCAGGGCCACGTTGAAGTCAAAGGCGTCGCCTCGGTCGCCAAAGCCGATGCCGATGAAGGCGCTGCGTCCTGACCAAGAAAAGCCAGCAGTGGTTAGAGCAGCCGCCGGCCGGTGGAGACCCCCCCTTGAGAGCTCCTGGAAACGCTCTGCGGCTTTTCGCCAACGCAGGGCAGTGCCTGGTGGGGTGTGGGGCCTTCAGGGAAGAGTCTCTGGCTCCCCATCTGGCGGAGGGGCCGACTCCGCTGCCTTCGGCCTCCTGATCCTCCCAAAGGAAGGCCAGCCTCTGCCTCAGCCGCTGCCCCGAAGGAAAGCCCCTCCCTTAGGCCCCGGAGGCCTGGCGGTCACAGCCCAGCTGGCAACCCAGGAGTCGCGCCACACCTGTGCGACAGCCCCAAGCACGTCCTTCGCGCCACTCCTGCTCCTTTTCATTGCCTCCAGCCCGTCTGGCGCCCGGCCCAGCAGGAGACCCAACTGGGGATCTCCTCTCGCTCCCCAAACTCAGCGTGTCTCTCTCTCTCTCACGTTTGGCCCCGAATTCTCCTCGCCAGGCATTTGGGCTCTTGCTCAGGGCCAGGCGCGCTCCGAAACACTCCGCTTAACCTGCCCCCGAGGGGCGTTTATTGGCTCTCTGAGGATGGCTGAAGACAGTCTCCTGGGGCCAGACCCAAGGGAGAGGGGTGCTGTCTCTGACAATTTGCCACGGCCAACTTGCCACGGGACAACTCGTTGCTGGACAAAAGTTACATTAATACCAAAGAAATGGTGGAACAGAATCATGAAAGAAAGGATGCAAAAGAATGAAATGTGACTGACAAAAATTAAAGTATTTTTTTTTATTTATTTTAAATAATTACACAGAATGGTTAAATTGTTCCGCAGAGAGTTAGAGTGGACCGTGGCGAGTGGGCAGTGGCGAGTTTCCTGTGAGGGCAGCTGCAGGTGGGCTCTGTGGGACCCCCCATCACGCACGTCAGCCAAGAGGAAGCCGCCCCCTTTTTCTTACCGTTTCCGTCCTGAATCCGGATGACAAAATACCGGCTCGAATCATTTACCGTCTCCACTGCGATGCCAGGGTACAGGTCAATCGGGGCCTGGGCGAAAAGCTCCCCTAGGCGGAAACAAGAAGGAGAAGAGAGCCACGTTCGAGGCCCAGCAAGGAAAATGGAAACCGGACTCTTTTCAGAACGCCTTTGGGGGGCTCTGGCCAAACGGCTGGCACAGAGAGCTGCCCGCTCAGAAAATGGCCACTGGAGGGAAGGCAGCCGACTAGCCTCCGTCCAGCTGGCCAAGAGATGGGTGGGTCCAAGCCATCCTGCCCTCTCAAGAGGCCATCCTGCTGCAACCCTGGTTGACCCCTGGAACCAGGCCCCTCACCAGGGCAACGCTTTGCAACAGGACTGGATCGATAAATAGGAAAACAGCAACCGCCCTTTGACTGATATGCCTCTTCACAGTGCTTTAAAACAGCCCCTCTCTAAGCGGTTCACAAATGCCAGCCTATTTGCCCCCAACAATCTGGGTCCTCATTTGACCGACCTCGGAAGGACGGAAGTCTGAGTCACCTTTGAGTCAGTCAAAGGCACTGGACAGAGTTTGCCTGCAATAGTGCATTCTAACCACTGCGGCAAAATATCAAATCAATTTATATAATTTATAAAATAATCAAATAAAAAAAATCAAATTAACCAAATAAAAAATTGATAAATAAGATGCCTTTTTTCAAAGCTGCAATTAGAGAACCTTTGTGTTTCCTGGAAGGATGTTTGAGCATCTGCTGTGATTTGAAAGTCAATCAGTCTGTTTTGAATGAGGAGGGGCAGGTAAATGGGTAAGAATGAGATGGGAAGTTGGGGGGGGGGGGAAGAGCCCAGTTTGGAACACAAAGAAAGAATCAGCCTGGACTCTGGCATAAAAACTAAAAAAGACTAAAACAAAACAAACCTTCTTCAAGCTGGGGCCTACTGCAAAAATCAGCCATGCCACAAGTGAGGTTAGGAATCCAAGTCAATTTGCACAAATCCTGATTTGGAGGCATCCAAGAACCAGGCCAGAAAGCATTCCGTATTGCCAAAAACGCATGGAAGATAAGGCTCACCATAAAACTAGCGGTTATTCCACACCACCCAACCCCTCATTCCTCAGAGATGATTACGGACCGGTTTGAATCGCTTTACCACCTTTAAAGCGCTCCATGGCATCGGACCTGGCTACCTCCGAGACCGCCTTCTGCCACAGATTCCCTCCCATAGACCGGTACGCTCCCACAGAGCGGGCCTCCTCAGGGTGCCGTCGGCCAAGCAATGTAGGCTGGCGACCCCCAGGGGGAGGGCCTACTCTGTGGGTGCCCCCACCCTCTGGAATGAACTACCNCCGCCCGGGGGCCCAGCGGGGACGCGGCCGACCTTCGCTCGGGGCGGGAAGGCCGCGGGGGACGCGGCGCCGCAAGGCTCGGCCTCCTACCGGTAGCCGCGGTTGGAGGCCCGCGGCGGGATGCGGTAGACGCTGACCTCGGGCTTCACGCAGAGCACCGACTCGTACTCCGCCTCGGCCGCCGCCGCCGCCGCCGCCGCCATCGCCCCCGCCAGCTGACCGCGAGCCGGAAGGGAAACGACCCGCAGCCGCCGTTCGCCCGCCGCTTCCGCCCAGCGTCCTAGCGCGCAGGCGCCGCTCCGCTCCGCTCCTGCCTCCCGGCCTCTATGGCTGACCGCGGGGGCGGCGCCGGGCCGTAGAGCCGCGCGGGGCAGAGGGGCCGGGCTGGGAGGGCGGAGCCCGCGGTCGGCCACGCCCCTGCGCCGGGGGGGGGCGTTCCCGGGGGCTCCGCACGTGCGTGGGCAGGACGGGAGGGAGGGGGCTGCGGGGCTGCTCCCGGGGGGGCTGGAGGGGGAGACCGGAGCGGGAGGGGTCCCCGCAGTTCCTCCCCACCGACGGCAGCCCAAGATTGCGCCCCCTCCCCTCCGGGGGCAGCGGGGCGCTCTCTGTGCCCGGCCGAGGCGGGCTCCAGCCCCTCCCCGCAAGTGGCCGGGAATTGCCCCGGCTCAGCCTCGCCCGGGGAAAGGGGAACTGGCCGAGCGGCCGCCCCCTCCCCGAAACGCTGATGGGGCGCTTTTCCTCGCTCTCCTCCGTCTGGCCTGCGCGGAGGAGGAGGAGGAGCAGCAGCGAGGGAGCCCGGCGGGAGCCTCGTCCAGGTAGGGGCGGGGGGGGGAGCGAGGGGCTGCTTGGGGGGCAGGAGGGGGGCGGGGGCCGCGACCCTCCCCCGGCGGCGGGCCAGAGCCCCGGGCTTTCCCTGGACCGGCTGCATCCCCCCCTCCCTCCCCGCTCAACTCTGCCTTGGCTTTCAAGCGGCGACTCGCTTTGTGTGTGGGGGGGGGCGTTGTCCTGCAGCCTGAGGAGAGCCAGAATGAAGCGCCCCCTGCCCGCCCCCCCCCCAGTCGACCCCCTGGCGCTGCCTTCCACCTTCTCTCAATCCCGGGCAGGCCGGCAGAGGAGGGCTCTGTGGAGCCTTGGAGGGAGGAGGAGCAGCCGCTTGGGCAGAAAGACGGCTTTAACGGAAATAACAGAGCAGAAGGGACCTTAGAGGTCTTCTAGTCCAACCCCCTGCTCAGGCAGGAGACCCTATACCTAAACTCCGCTGAAGATGTTACCTAGCCTGGTAACGAAAAGTTCAGAAACTGACTGAGAAGGAACCTCCGCCCTCACCCATTCCAGATAAAGTGGCTGTCCAGTCTTAAAAAAACGTCCAGTGTTGGAGCCTTCACAACTTCTGGAGGCAACTTCCGTTCCACTGATGGATCCTTCCAGGCCCTCTGCTTAAAATGGTTTTAACTGTCACCCTTCCAGCCCTAAGATGCCGCTCTAATGCATGGCCAAGAGAGGCTTTTGTCTTCAGGTTCTGCTTCAGATGGTCAGCCAGGACACGGTGGGCTTCCTCTCCCCCCCCACGGCTGCCACCCTCCCATTTTCTCAAGGGGGCAGGTAGCTGTTTCAGGCACGCTTGTCAGAGCAGTGTAACCAAATGATCCCTGGATTTTCATATGGCCAGATCCTGTAAAAGTGTGCAGAGATTTTCCATGGTCTAATCTTTGGGCTGCAAAGGTTCAGGAGCCATCGGGAGCCGAGAGCCTGGTGGGGGGACAAATTTCTGGGGCGTTTTTTACAGGTGGAAACATTAGGAATCTTCCGCAGTTCCAGACTCTCCCAACGGGCTCTCCTCTGCCATCTTGAAATAGTTCTCAAAGCCATAGGTTTTTACAGTTAAAAGCAAATGAATTTTCTAGTTTTAACCAGGACTGACACATCCTTTCTGGATTAATTAAAACAATCTCCCTTACAGGTTTATAAAACCTGTCTTAACACTTCTGCTACGTACAAATGGAGCCACCCAGCTAATGACATGGATCTTGTGGTTGGAAAGCAAAGCAAAAAACCCCTGACTGGCCAGCACTTTTCGGCTGATAAAAGAACAGCGACAGCCTTGTGGGAACCTGCCCCACAACCGTCTTCCCCACAACGTTGGCTGAGGAGATCAGCTGTAGCTCTGGATATAGGGCCCTTTGGGGAAGGCGGCGTCTGCAAAACCCCACATCCGCCTGCCACCCGAGGTAACGATTCAAAACCTTTTTTTCAGGCTTCCTTTTGTGAAGGAAAATGGCTCCATTGCCAGAGAACGGCAGCTGGGACGAAAACGGCGAGCCTCTCCCGTTGCCTTCCACCTCGGTCGCCTCTCTGGCCATTTTCTCCATCACTTTCCTCTTGGGCTTTCCTGGAAACGGCCTGGTCATCTGGGCCATAGTCCTGAAGATGAAGCGAACGGTGAACACGGTTTGGTTCCTCCACCTGGCGATCGCCGACCTGGTCTGCTGCCTCTCCCTGCCGTTCTCCATCGCCCAGCTGGCCCTCCACGAGCGCTGGCCTTTTGGCTGGCTCCTCTGCAAGGTTCTCCCCTCCGCGGTCATCTTCAACATGTTTGCCAGCATCTTCCTCCTCACCGCCATCAGCATTGACCGGTGCCTCCTGGTGATGAAACCCGTCTGGTGTCAGAATCACCGGACAGTCAGGCTGGCGTCCGTGGTCTGCGGTGTCATCTGGATCCTCGCCTTCCTTTTGTGCTGCCCTTCCTTCTTCTACCGGGAGGCCCTGGAGGATGAATTTGGCAATATCAAGTGCCTCAACAACTGGGAAATGGGGAGACATGACGATTACGAGTGGCTGAAAATGGGGAGACATGACGATTACGAGTGGCTGAATGATCTGGGGGCCCTAGAGGAGACGACCCCCATTCAAGACCCTGCTCTTTTGGTCACCGGGAGCACCTACGGCCGTGCCTTCCCAGGTGGGAATCTGGATCCACACCCTTCCTACCCCACTGTGAACACCACGGTGCCCTTGTCTGCATCACACCGTGATAGAGTCAAGACAGAGGCAGATTTATTGATGAGGGAGGTTACTGCTGCTCCTTCCAGGCCAAAGGGGTTTCCCAGGGTCCATCCGAGTTTAGCTACAGCCAGCATCTCCCCATTCCCTGAAACCCAACCGCCTGGCGTCTTCGTGTCCACCACCATCACCAGAGCCACGTTTGGCTTCCTCCTGCCTTTTGCGATCATGGCCACCTGCTACGCTCTGATTGCCTGGAAGATGCTCAGGAAGCCCTTCGTGGGACCTCGCAGGAAGGCCCTGCAGGTGATCCTGCTCGTGGTGGCCTCTTTCTTCCTCTGCTGGGCTCCCTACCACGTCACCGGGCTGCTCTTCCTCCTGGCTGCCCCCCAAACGCCACTTCACCAGGCCCTGCTGTGGTGGGACAGTGTGTCCGTCGCACTCGCTTACGCCAACAGCTGCATCAATCCTCTTCTCTACGTCTTCGTGGGGCAGAACTTCAGGAAGAAGGTCTGCCAGACAGTGCAGAAGATGTTTGAGGGGGCCTTTGTGGAGCCCTCCTCGCCAGCCTTTTCCCAGGAGAAAAGCAAGACAACCACAGTGGACAACGAGGTGGATGTTTCGGTCCTCTAATGCGCCTCTTCCGGGCAGCCAAAGGTTCAGGGAAGTCTCTAGTCAAGTGGGGGGGGGGAGGATGCTGGCTTAGGCTATAATCGGCACTCCTTCTACCGACCTTTTGCATTCATTTTATCTGGGCTATTTTGAATGGCTTGTATCTGTAGCACGTCAGCAATGAGTATTTTTCAAATATTTTTTTAAGATGTTTAAAAAGAAGATGCGTTTCTTCAGTTGCCACTCCTTGGACAAGAGTCCCGCCAGCCGCCTTAGAATCCAGCTCTTATGTTTCAGCCAAGAAGACGGGCAGCCGGTCGCCAGTGTGCTTCGTTCAGCTGGGTCAGCAACCCAGGGTGGGGAGGGGTCTGGAGCCTGGGCTCCTGCGGGATGCCCCCCTCCTCCCCCCAGGGCTTGGTTCCCAAGCGGAGCCCCTTCAGAGGCCGAGGATTAAGGATGAGGATTGGGGGGGGAGGGGAGAGGGGATACTTTTCATACATTCATTAGGGATGGTTTCTCTTATTGGGCTGCATGAAAAATAAACCTGGAACTCTCCACGGCCTCCGTCCGTTTCCTTGCAACGTTCAATCTGGGCTGAAGCACAGCTCCTCTTCCGGCTGTGTGTGTGTGTGTGTGAGAGAGAGAGAGAGAGGACTTTCCGCAATGATCCTCTGGGCGGGACAGCTAGCAAAGGCTGCCTGCCTTCCTTCCTGGAGGCCCCCCCTGCCCCCCAGAGCTTTCTGAGCTGGCATCCATGGGCCGGGTGAGCCTGTCAGCACAGCAAGGAAAAGGGGAGTGGGCCGGGGGGGGGAGGAGCGGGGGGAAGGCCCAGGCCACTCGGAGTGTGGGGGGAGGCTACTGGCCAACGGGTGGGGGCTAGCGATGGAGACCTTCTGGCCCAGTGTGTGTGTGTGTGTTTGTGAGTTGCAGCACTCCCTGTCATAAGGGCAGGCCCTTGCCCATTGCCCAACTTTTGATCACATGTCCGTGGAGGGTTGGGGGCTGCAGTGGTTGGAACTTTGGGCAGGCATCGTCTGTGCCCCTTCGGTCAGCCCTCCTCTAATTTCAAAAGGTCACTGAATGAACGGCCGTGATCCGAGGAGCCCCCCTGTGCAGGTGCAGCTGCCTGGGAGAGCAGCAGGGACGGAGCCAGGGAAGCCACAGGGAAAAGCAGGAAGTGCCTCCGACTATCCAGGGGGGGGGTGGGGGGGGGGAAGTGAGGTGGAGGCTTTGTCAGAAAAGAAGCCCGCCAAAGGCAGCTCGGCCCTTCGCAGCCCCCCCCCACCAGCCAGCCAGGCCGAAAGCCTCCCTTTGAGCAGAGAGGCTGGCCCAGAGCGGGCCCCGGGTTCAAGGGGAAGGCTTTTGTGTTCAACAAGGACTAAGAGGGCCTTAAAGACGTCAGTCCTGCAGGCTGCCACAAATTAAAACAGGGGCACCAAAACGGTTAAACCATAAACATTCACTTTTTTAATTAAGAAAGCATGCACAAAAATAATTTTTGTGAGGCCACCCCCTCCCCTCTCCTTGGCATCAAGCAATGTGGACCCCACAGAGCAATGGGCAAGCGGGGGGGGGTCCCCCTCCGTGGCGGGGCACTGCCTTGGATCCAATCCTCCCCCCAGGATGACCCCGTTTCTTTACTCAGAAGGAAAGGGAGAACAAGACAGATTTGGACACTGACTGGCATATATTTACATATGCAAAAAGGAGCAGCTGTGTGGACGAAGAGCCTGATGGATGATCTCTTGCCTCCCCAGTGACCCTTTTGGGGGGGGGGCTCCTCAGAAGCCGCCCTGCCCGAAACCTGGAGGAGAAGTCATCCCTGCATCCTGCCCTGGGCAGCATTCTCATGAGGAGAGGCTTCCTGCACCTCCGGCTCAGGGTCTCCCGAGACCACCGGATGATGCGCCCCCTGTCCAAACTCCCCGCCCTCCCACCCTCCCTCGCAGCAACGAGCAGGATGCTGCAGGAACCGGCCCCTCCCCCCACGAGATGGTTCCGCTTCCAAGTCGGCTCTCCCCCCACCCCACCCCTACGAAGCAGGCTTGCAGCTGGAAGGGCATGCAGGGGAAGGAGAGGTCCAGCCAAGAGAGACACACTGGGGGGGGGGGGAGGAGGGGAGACCAAGCAATGCATTGGGGTGCCAGGGCCAGTCCAAAACGGAACCCCAGGCGGGCACCTTTTGTGGCGCCCGTGCTCGGAAGGGCCCGCCTAGGCAATCCACCAACCCTCTGCCATTCCCGGTTCTCCCTGGAGCGGAAGGGGGCGTCCAGCTTCCCTTTCCCAATCGTGCACTTTCGCGTCTCCTTCAGAGACGGGCACTTCGCTGCAGCAGGAGAGAGAGGTTCAAGTCTGCACCCTCCAAGTTCTGCCCGGCACGGCCTTCCTCTTTTTGCCTCCCTCTGTCCACCACACAGGAAGCATCACTTGCTTAGCTATACAAGGCGGAGGGGTTAAAAAAAAAAACCCTCTTCCATTTTTGCATCACAAGTCACAACACATTCCAGCAAAATGAGGGGAGGGGGGGGGAAGTAAAATCCAGAAGTTAAAAAAAGGGAAAAAAAAACCCTTGAAGGGGAGAAGAGTACAATTCTTCTTGATTTGTCTGTCTCATCTGCGTATCCAAAACGGGAGCCCTGTCGCCTTCGAGGAGGGACGGAGGAGAGAAGGGGGGTGGGGGTGCGAGCTCTGAGGGGTCTGGTCCAGTGGTCCTTGCTGTCCAGTCCACCTGATGCAGAGCAGACCCCTCCGGCGCCTCTGATCTGCCAAAAGGGACGGCCACCCCCACCCTTCTCTCTCAGCAGCAGCCGCAACACCCCCTGCCGCCTTCGCCTGCGAGTGGAACCGGCGTCGTCCTTGCTTCCTGTTCCAGCCTCTCTCGGTCTCTCCAAGCCCCGTCCTCCCATCTCGCCACTGGCCCTGGCCTCCCTTCGCTCGCGGGTGCCAGAAAGCGGGCAGCTTTCTCCTTCAGACCAGTCCGACTCCCCCCCCCAACACACACACACACACATACGTTACAACATTTAGGAAGAACATAATTTTCTTACAGACTCTCAAGACCCACGGGCGCGCTCACTTCAGCAGCCATCAAGAGAGTCCCTGGCCACCTCGAGGGGAAAGGGGGATTGTTCAATGCAAGGGTGACAAAGATGAAGATGATGATGATGATGATGGCGGTGATGATGATGATGACGCCCTCCGTTCTTTGGAAGTCTCTTCCGGCACCAGGGCCGTCTTCTGACTTGCATCCAGACAAGGTGCTCAATAAACGTGTAAAATCCGAAGCTGGCAGATAGAGCAAAAAGGGTAGCTGGGTACAGCGATGATGATGATGATGGTAATAATAATAATAATAATATAATAATAATAAGGAAGAAGAAGAAAAGAAGGTAAAAACAAGGAGCGCAAGGAAGATTATCTTCGGCAGCATCTTGTGGCAGCTTCTCCGGCTGAAGTAGAGAATATATATCTATATACAGGCAAGGAAGGAGGCCCAGCGCTGGCCCGGGACGGCCGGCGTGCGCGGCTTCCTTCTCCCGCAGGGAGCCCTCCGGGAGGGACGGGCTGCCGAGTCTCTCGCTTGCTAGGTGATCAAATCCCAGTTGAAATCGTCGGGGATCTCCTCGGGGGCGCCGGGAGGGGGCCGCGAAACCAAATGATGACCTGAGTCAATTGCACAACGGGAAAGACAGAAAAGCAGGACGAAGTGGTTTAGTCAGTTGAATTCTTCTGAATTCCCCCTCCCCTTTCGATATGGCATTGGATGGAGCCCTAATTGAAGCAACCCATTCAATCTAAAGGATTAAAAAGGCCGAAAACGTTCGTGAGGCAGGCCGATGTCCAGAGGGCCTGCCAGGGAAACGGTGAGGAGCGTCTGCCAAGCAGCTCAAGCCGAAGCCGGCTGCCTCCCGGGCATCTCCTTACCTGGACGATTGTACCCTGGCGAATCCTGGGTGGGAATAGGGTACATCGGAGAGGGGCCCCCCGAGTACAGGTGGGGAGGCGCTGGCTGGCCATACGAGTTCACTGGGGAGAAGAGAGGCAGACAGGGAGGGTCAGCTCTGAAAATCCGTACCGTCTCTCCGAGACCCCCCTGGGCTTCGCAGCGGGGTGTGTGTGTGCGGTGTTTTATGGTGTCTGCTTGCTTCCCCCCCCCCCATGATGAATATCCGGTTTCTAACTGGAAAGGGTTAGGGTCCCCCAGTCGCTCGGAGCTCTTCCCCCTCTGCCCCCTCCCACCCTCCAGGACTGGGACAGAAGTTGGGGGCCTCATTTGGGCAGCTGGGGGCAGAGATGTCTAATGGGGCCTCCCCACCATCCACGGGGCTGGCCCCAACCTCAGAGACAGGGGTCACTTTTAAGAGAGGGAGGGGGAGAGGGGAGAGCCACGAGGCAAAGAGGGGGCTTGTGGCTGCTGCAGAAGGGCGGCCCTGCTCCCCAGACGGACACGATGGATGGAGGGTGGCTGAGAGGTCAAGGAAAGGTTCTTCCCGCTTCTTCCCCCCCCCAGGACACGGCCCTGCTTGCTGCTCTCGCCCCTCCCTCCCCCTCAGCGCCCTGCCCGGTACCTTGGCTCATGGGCTGCTCCTGCTTGTTGCTGTTCATGGCACAGGACTCGGAGATGCGGGGGGGCTGCGGAGGGGGCCCCCCCAGGTGAGGGAGCTGCCCGGTCTGGGTGAGGAAGTGATTCAGGGAGTCACAGAGGTTGGCAATGTGGTGCTGGTCTAAGGACCAGTTCTTCCGCTCGGCCTGGCGGAGGCTCTCCATTAACTCTGCAAGGGGAGGGGGGGGATCCGGCCATCACTGCTCCGCCCACACCAAGGGCCCCCACCCCCTTGCGGAGGAGGACGGGACCCCTTCTCCTCCTCCCTCCCTCCCTCCCTCCCCCACCCCCCCGGGGGGAGGGAGATGCACTCACCGGAGAACTGGGAGTGTTCGATGCTGGACCAGTTGAGTCGGTTGACTGCCTTGAAGCTTTCCTTCAGAGAGTCCATGTTGGAGCACCAGTCGGAGGGAAAAGCTGGTGGGGGGGGGAGAGACAAGGCCGGCAGAGAAGTGAGCTGCCCCTTCGCCCCCTCCCCCGAGGCCTCCCCTCTCGTGCCCCAGGCTCATGGGATGCGCCCCAAGGCACCCCGGGGCGGATCGCAGCCTCACCCAGGGCAGCCGCTCCGTCCACGGGCACCGGAGGGAGCCTGGCGTGGCCCCTCCCCCCTCAGGGAGAAATTTCGCTCTCTGTCCCGTTAAAATCCACCATCGGGCTAAACGTCTCCCCGGGCGGGAACTCACCGAAGCCGGCGTTGTTGAGGGAGGCCTGTGACTGCGGTGGGTGGGCGTGGGGATGATGGTGCTGGTGGTACCCTCCGTGCTGCATGGCGGAGGGGTGCAGAGACATCACGGGAGGGGGGCCGTAGCCGTCCCCCGCCTGCTGCTTGCCCTGGGACTGGCAGCTCTCCGAGGTCGGAGTGTGGAGGGGGGGCACGGCTCCGATGGAGGGGGGCCCCTGTGGCTGCTGGTACATGTAGTAGCTGTGGTTGGAGGGCTGCATCTCCCCCAGGAGGGAGGAGAAATCTGAAGGGAAGATCAGGAGGGAAACTTTCAGGGGGCACACGGGGGGGCCCGGGGGGGGGCAAATGGCCTTCCTGCTCTCCCTCGCTGGTCTTTCCCCGCAGAGTCCCAGGGCCGCTTCACGCCAGCCGCCCATCCCCACGAGAGGGTCCCCAGGCATCCAGCGGCCCCCAGGTGGCTCCGAGGAGCCGATGCCGGGTGCCGCTGGCCCGCCTCTTCTGCCCCCTTCCCAGACACACACACACACACACCCCGGCCCTGCCACCGCCGCTCACCGTGCTGGGAGGAGGAGGACTTCTCGAGCATGGATTTGTAGAGATTCCGGAAGGACCAGCTCAGGTCCTGGAAGTTGATTTCGGAGTAGGAGAACTTCAAGTCGCTGCTGGTGCTGTAGTGCGGAGGGGGCACCTCGGTCCCGTCACGGCCTTGTCCGCCCGCCACCGTGGTGGCCACCTCCACCGGCCCAGCACTCTGCTGCAGAGGACAAGCAGGTGGGGTGTGTGTGAAACAAGAGCGCCGGGGGGCACCTGTTCTGGGCCGCTGGATGGGGCCAAGGCTCACCGCCCCCCCGCCCCCACCCAGCCAGATGTCTTTTGCGCCCCCCCGCCACGCACCTGGCCGTAATTGCCCAGAGGGGGTGTGCTTTGCATCGAGAGCTGCTGGTTGGACTCGGGGGAGAGCGACGCCTCTGGGCCCAGAGAGATGGACCCCCGGGGGCTCTTGCTGGCCTCCTGATCCGGGGAATCCTGGGACAGCTGGAAAACCCAAGCAGGCACTTCAGCCCTGAGCAGGCGGAGAGGCAGCCGCCCCATCTGTGCCAGGGCCGGGTGCCGGAAGGACTGGCACAGTCTCCCGAGGAAGGGGCCTCCGGCAGGAGCCCTCCCTGCTCCTTCCCTGGGGGCCAAGGTCCCCTGTGCTCCCGGGGGGGGCTCTCTTACAGCCGCAGCCCTGAGGGAGCCTCCAGAGGCCGCTGGCCCAACATTTAATAATAATAATAATAATTTTAAGAAAACCGCCATCAAGGGATCAATTGAACAGGACGGCCAAGCAGTTGCTCAGTCAAAGGAGTCTCTTGTGTTTCTTTCAGCAGGAAGCTGGTTTTGGGGAAGCGCCACTGAGCTGTGGATGTACGTGGAAGGGGGGGGGGGGCTCCTCGACTATTTTAAAAGCGCTTTTTTCGGTGCCCCCTGGGGAAAAGGGACCTGCTCCCTCCCCCCTCCGTGGTCTGCTGGGGAGGCAAGCTCACATCGTCATCCGGCGGATGGCGCCTCTTCCGGGAAATATCGGGGCAGGTGTCAATCGTCCAGTAGGAGCCCTGAAAAGACAGGGGGGGGAGATGAAGCCTCCTTCCCCTCTCCGACAACAACCAGGCCCCCTGCGGCGTTTTCAGCCCCATCATTCCCAGCGAGTTTCAGTCTTCCTCTTGGGAGGAACAGGCTGGACTGGGAGGGCCGCTGCCATGGGGGAAAGAGCGTGACCCCCACGGAAAGGTAAGGGGGCCTGCCGGGCGCAGCTCCCGTCCACCGTCCTCCTGCCTCTGCCTCCCCCCTCCAAAGTCCCCCCCGCCCCCTCCCCCCTCTGCCCAAAGCTCGGTCTCTTCGGGACAGAGGAGCTTCTCTTCTCCTGCCCGTCGACCCCCTTTCGCCTCACGGGGGTCCAAAGAAGGTGAAGTGCTTGAAGAACCCCTTCGTGGAGGAAAGCCGGCTCACCTTTCCAGGGTCGTCCCGGGGCCGAGGCACTTTCCGGAAGCATTTGTTCAGCGAAAGGTTGTGCCGGATGGAGTTCTAGGAGGAGAACCAGAGGAACCGCTGCAGCAGTCAAGCAGCTGCTCAGCCCCGCCTTCCCACCCGTCCCTCCACACGCCTTGGCCACCGCTGGGGGAAAAGGGGTCAGCCCGGCAGCTTCCCCACCTCCTGTGCCTCAGCCCACCCCACCACACACACATCCCCGGCAATCCAAGTCCCCCCCAGCCCCGAGAGCCCCTCGGCCTCTCCATGAGGGCTCCTGGCCACCGAGGACTCTGCAACCCTCCCCAGCTCCTGCACAGGGAAGGCAGGTGCAGCCTGAGGCTCTGGAAACCTTTGGGGGGTCCCGGGGGTCCCCTCCTTCTCTGCACCACCAAGCAGCCGAGAAATTGTGGGCCAAATTTTGTTGGGAGCAGCGGCTGGCCTGGGTGAGACCTGGATGGGAGACCCTGATAAAAACATTGTTTCCAAAAGGACTCAGGGAAGTACAGTTGTGTTATTTATCTGTCTTATTCTGTACTGTAATCGTCTCAAATCAGCACAGAAACGCACGAACGAATGTCGCTTGTTGACAGATTCCCGCCCTGCTGGCTTCTTCAGCCCAGGCCAGGCAGTGCAGGAAGAGGGACCGAGAAGACCCCCAGTGGCCTCCAGGCAGCTCCCCTCTGAGAAGAAGCAGGACTTTCCCCACCATCTCCTGCCTGCCCAGTCAAGTTCCAGACCCCTTTTTTTAATGGGAGTTCCAGCTCTGACCCTCAGATTCTCCTATCTCCAGTCCCCGATCAACCCGTCCTCTGAAAATATTTCCGGATCCAGACTTGCTTAATCCTCAGCGTATGGCTGCTGCCTGCCAGAAAACCAGGCTCCAGTAGGTACTATTGCCCAGACAAGGTAGGTCAGCAGTGAATAAAGCTTTACTCGAGCAACAGCAAAGAAACACGATAAAGAAACACGAGGACACACAGAGACAAAGGAATTCCACAACTTCCTCTAGAAGTCAGGCTAGGAAACTTTGCTGGCCTTTTGCGGGACTAAAACAGCATGTGTGGCATTTTCCCCACATAAACAAGTACCCCCCCGCCTCTGGGGTGGGGGGAAACTCTGCCTCTGCTATGACCCATTTCATATTTTGGGTTCGGCCTCTGTGGCAAACCTACCCCAAAGCCTGGGCTCCCCCAGGACAGAAAACTTCGGCTCTCTGAGCAAAGACGTCAGCCTCCGGAGTCAGCCCTGAGCCTCTGGGGGCTTCCGAAGGGCGGCTGCGTCCCGCCTCTTTTACCCCGGGGTCCCCAACGGGAGAGGTAAGAGGACGTCGTACCTCCCATCGCCCCTCCGTTGTTTCAGCTGGTTTTAACACCGTGTGCTATTTTTCTTATAAGTTTGCTTGATCTTTTTTTTGCCCTGCAACCCAGAGTCCGTCACATTGCAGCCCCACAAATGTTCTAAATCAATAACTACGGGTATAAAAAAAAGGGCTTCCCATCCGCCTCATGCGCACAGCCTTCTGCCTTTGGCTCAATCGAGCCCTCCCTGCACTGGGGGCGGGCCACAGCAATGGGGACTAGCTTCTTAAAAGCAACGAGGGAGCCCCAGGCCCAGGGGTGCTCACCTTCCAGCCGATGCCCGCGTTCTTGTAGTAGGGGAAGTTGTCGCAGATCCAGCGGTAGATTTCGCTGAGGGTCATCTTCTTGGCGGGCGAGGAGTTGATGGCGTAGGTGATCAGGGTGGCGTAGCTGTAGCGGGGCTTCCCGTCCTGGTGGACGGCGGCCTCATCCTTGCTCAAGGTGGCGTTGGGGTCCGTCGGAGAGCCCGGCGGACACTTCCGGCCAGCTCCCGGGGCGCCTGACTGGGAAGCCCCCCCCAATTTCTCAATGGTGGCCCGAAGAGTGAGCTGTGGTAGCCAGTCGATGGAGGTGAGGCTGCTTTCCAGGTCGGAAGCCATGACCCCGGAGGGCGAGACCTGTGGCCGAGGCAGAAGCACAGACAGGAGAGGTGAGCGGGACGGGGCTCCCGCAGAGGCCCAAGGCCCAACTAGGTAACATCATCAGGGCTAGTGGTGGTGATGATGATGATCATCACGGATGATGTTGTTAGCTAGTTTGGGTAATGAAATGTCTGCAAGAAAACAAGCCAGCTCAGACAGCACCAAGGACCCCTCAATATAACTTATTTAGATCATGTATGAAATCTTTATTGGAATAATATATTGTAACAATACTGAGACCTACAAGAGCTAGATCATAAAATCTGTAGAGTTTTGGAACATTTGTAAAGGGACGGACCCAACTCTGTGGATCAGTGCAGGCCTCCCGGCTCTCGCAGCCCAAATAAAGGGGTCTCGCCTCCACTCTTGCACTTCCAGAGGGGACCCTCCACCGCCTCCCTGGACCTTTGGCTCCACCCTCCGATCGTCCTTACAGCTCTAACTTTCTACTGGATCCTGTCGTCTTGTAATGAGACTCCACTGTTATTATTCCATCTCTTGTACTCTGGACCAAGAAGCCACCTTCCTCCGAGTGACCTCTTTTGGGCCCCTGAGGGGCACCACCATGGCTGCTTCAGCCTCCTCTTCCCTTCTCCGTGTCTCTTCTCAGGGCTTCAATCTGTCTTTAAGTGGGATGACCACACAGGAGGCATCCGGCCAAAGCAGAGCGAGGTAGCAGACTCTCCCCGTGCCCTGGGCAAAGGAGAGCCATGGACCCAAGAGAGACAGCCTTTTTGTGGGAACAGGGCAGCCCCTGTGGAACCTGCCCAGGGAGCTACAAACAACCAGGGCCTTCTCCAGGCTCAGAGGGGGCCCCTTTCCCCCCCCCCCCCCAGGCATATTTTAACAAGCATTTGACAGGTTCTTCTGTGTTGCTTCTGTTCTGGGGACCTTCATGTACTATGGCCAGAGCTGATATTTAATGTTATTGTGCCATTTTCTACTACTGTCTTTTAAATACTGTTTTATTTTGAAAGCCATTCTTTCATAGATTTATACATTACCCACTCTTGGGTAGTCTAGAAGTACAATTATTAGGAGCACTATGGAGCGGTGAATATAAGACTTAAGTGCTATGGCTCTTGTTGTGCCACAGTGGGCAAAACACTCAGGGGCTGTGAGCACAACTGCAGCACTGAGAGCACGGACTCGTTCATTCACTCGCTCACTGGAGTTTCTGCATCCCCATAATCGTTCGGCGGAGAACAATCTAAGCATAAAAAGAGAACAAACCAGACCGTAGCAGGAGCACCCAGACGGAAGGCCTTGGGAATGGCCGCTGCCGGACCTCCCGTGGCTTGGGAGACACTTCGCACAATGCCACGCTCCCCTTGGGCGATGAAGCCGGCCAGCCCGCTTGCAAAGGGTGGGCAGGTGCCCAGCGGATCAAACCCACAGCTAAGGAGCTTCTTTTGGGGCAGGCGTGCCGCGTCTCTCGGCGGCTGCCCCTTCAAGAAGAAGCCCTCTCGCTTCCTGGGATGGCCCAACAGCTCCTTTCCCTGGGATTAGGGGGCGGCTGCCCACCCCTCCCAGGAGTTAAGGGGGCGTGGGCAGCACACCCACACCTGCCCCTAAGCATCAGGCTGCACCGTCAGCACCCCCTTAACTCAAAACAGGCCTTTTCCAGGTGTGGCAGAAGGACCAGAAAGCAGCTTCCCTCGCAGGGGGGCTGAGAGGTGCAGCCGAGGTGCCCCCCCCCCCCGGCCACCTGGAAACCCTTTTGCAGCTTTGGATCCGAACCGCTGCAATCCTACAGAGTGCTCTCAAAACCTGGAAGAGGGTGGCCAAATTTCCCTTGATTCAAAGAGGTGAGAAGGCCTAGAACTGAAATCCTGAACGGAGATCAGGACTCATAAAATCTGCCCTGCAGCAGGTGGGTCTGAAGAGGAGGGCATCTCACCCCCATCCAAGTAATGTTGTGGTTTGGTTCTTATTGGCTATCTAAAGGAATCCTTAAGGAAAAATCAGAAGAGCCCCAGGAGGAAGAATCTGCCCTCCCCCACCCCAGAGGTCAGCGCATTGCCTGCCCCAGGGCTACAATTATTTGCTGATCAGTTTTGCATCTTTGATACAAAGAAGCTTAATGAGCTTCTATCTGTGCAGCCCATTGACTCAAAAGGAGTCTAGAAATTAAGAGTTTTCCCTGCAAGGAACCAGCAGCAGCAAACATTCTCTGAGGTTTAGTGGGCATCTCCCAAACTTTCACTCTATGTTTTTTTAGAAATTTTATTAAGGGCAACATGTCACAATAATACTTTTATTCTTTTAACCACTGGCCATGCCATGCTTCGTTTCTCAGCCTTCTAGATAAGATCAAGGGTAAAAAAAAAAGGGGGTAATAAATTCAATTATTTGCCTTTTGCCCACTTGATCAGAAATTTGAGGACAAAAACGAGGTGGGAAAACAAAAGTAACCATATAAACTGCTACCGGAGACTGAATTGATTTTTCTAGAACAAGAACCACTCTTCAGTTTCATTCACACTCACAACCTCCGAATGCGCTTCACTCACAAATAGGTGGGGAAAGCACAACTTCCAGTGGGTATCTCCTTTCGGTCTGCTCGCTTAAGGGGCCTTGAATTATGCATTCTCTGGTATGGGTAAACTACTAACCCTGATAGATTTTTCAACACAGCCCTAATTCAAAGACAATTAGCCCCCCCACGAAAAGAATGAACTCAAGTCAATTATGACTAAGCTTAGAATATCCTTCAAACCGATTTGAACAAATGCAGTTCAGCGACAAGGAAACTGGAGTTCTGCACTTAAGATAGGAAGAACCTGATGGACAGAGAAGGAGACAGACCAGTGTTTCTCAACCTTAGCCACTTTAAGATGTGTGAACTTCAACTCCCAGAATTCCCCAGCCAGGCTGAGTTGAAGCCCACACTTCTTAAAGGTTGAGAAACACTGAGAGAGACAATGCAGGGGTCACACTCGTGAGGAAAATCTGGGCGCCGGAGCCAGCAACGTCCTGCAGCGACAGAAAGAGCAAACGCAATCCTGAGCTACATCAACGGAGAGGGATAACGTTCCACTCTACGTCACACCAATCAGAGCACCCCAGTTCTGGTCGTCCCAAAGCAAGGAGGACGCTAAACAACTGGAAAGAGCGAGGGAAGCATCACAAGGATTGTGAGGGGCTTCGTAGGCTGAATCCCACTTAGAATGGTTAGAAGAGCAATTATGTTTAGCTTAAGGAAGAGAAAGCGGAGAGGAGACGGGAAAACCTGCCAAGACCTGAAGGGATGTCACAGTGCAGAGGGTGGGACAAGAACCAAAGAACGGAAGCCTTGCAGAGGGAGAATCAAACTTAAAATAAGGAGGAAAATCCAGGCAGTTGGGTCAGCCTGTTGCCCGGAACTGCTGGGCTGCTTCCACCACTGGAGGTTTTCAATCAAAGGCGGACCCCTCGTTCGTTCGTCTCACATGGCCTGCAGGTTCCTTCCCTGGGCAGGGGTCTGGCCTGGGAGACCTCCACGGTCTCCTCCAACCTTCCAGTCCCACTAGCCTTTTTCTGGCCCTGGGCTCAGGCAGGCAGGGAGCTTTCCCTCCAGCTGTGGGAGGACCGTACATGCAGCCTTGTTGCTCGTCAGATGCTTTGGGACCTCCCTGAAGCAATGCCACCGTGTGAAGACCCATTCGGAGTCTGCTACAGGAGAGAGCAGCCCTGCTGCTATTATTATGAAACACGCTGCCCTGTCTATTCTTAGTGACTGAACTATTTACTTCAGTATTAGCTTTCCAGGTCTGAAGCACCAGGAGGTGACCAGGCCAACCCTTTCAAGATCAGTTATTCCATTTTCAGCACTCCTTGTGAACTGGACGCTTGCTAAGTCTACAAGACAAGGAGTAAACATAAGACAAAACCGGACTTCCAGTGCTTGAAAACAGAATGGATAAACTCTTGGGAGGAAAAGGGACAGAAAAAAGCCATGCCCATCAAAAAGTTAACAGAACCAGAAAGACAGTTCCTGCTCCGGGGGGGGGGGGGGGGAGGAGACACAAAGGACCTTTGGATAAAAACGAACTAAATGAAACTAAATAAATATAAAGGAAAATAAACATGAATATATCAGGAAAGGAAGCCCAAGAGATTAACATAAAGCATTTGATTCATGCTATAAGCAGGTAACAAGCCACTACATTCGGGTGGGAGGGGAATCTCCTGGCACCACGTTTGAGATACTAGAAGAGAAGTAGACTTCCTTGTTTGGAGAACCTTGAGGGCTGGAACGCACAACTCAATCTGGGGAAACCCACAAGGACACAATTGTCTGGGCCTACCACGAAGGACATATATTTTGAAAAATAATGGCTGTTCTGGTCAGATTTATCTATAAAATATTTAAAAATTACTTCAGTGACCAAGATATTAAAATAAGGAGCCTAACATATTCTATATAGCAAGACTGTGAACAGAATAACCCCTCTCTTCTGCAGGGTGTGCAGTTTTCTCCTTGAAAGCAAACAAAACAAAAACTCTAAGCCAATGCAAGAGACCGGCAACTTGCTAGCTAAACTACATTTCCCAGAAGCCCTTGCCCGTTGCCAGAAGGCTGATGGGAAGCACCTGAAGTCACCATATTGCCGTCCTCGTTCAAAAAAAATTAACATCAGGGACGTTGTTTTCTCATTTTTTTATATACATTAATATAAATTGTCTAATACTAGGATAGCTTGCTTTAATTATTCTTTTGCTGTTTTTATGTTTATCAGCTTTACTCTGCCCAGATACCTTTGATTTTGGAGTGGATAATAACGAGAACAACAACATTCAAGCCTGAATTCTCTACCTTTTATCACTGAAAAGAAGAATGCAACATAAACTGACTCATAATATCTGATTTTAAAACAGGACAGCTGCAAGATTTAATGGTAAGATACCTAAACTGCAACAATGAAGTTCAAAACTTGTTCATGTTTTGATTATTTAGTCTGAAATCTAACCTAGCA